AGAAACAGAGCTGGCCTTAATCCTCTCCACAAATTTTGCTCTGGGTGGGGAAATAATCAAGTCTCTCTACAGCCTCAATTTTAGAAGGTGTTAAGTGAATTGCTCAAGGCGATTCAGGTAGCAATAGTCCATCAGAATCTGAACAAGGGTCCTTTGATTCCAAATGAAGCACTTTCTCCATTGTCTTTGTACTATGACTTTCCTTTTCTCCTATGCCCCTGCTTACTTTATGCCCCCTAGTAACTAGCTGGACCCTACAACACTCTTCCACTAGTGTTTCCCTTGGCTTGATCCAGAGATAGGGCCAGAGCAGGAATAGCCTGAGATGGTAAATGAGAACTTTCCATGTGGCCTACACAAATAGCAAGTCAGTTAAACAGGAATGAGAAAGTCTTCAGTAATAAGGTCTCCAAGGACAATTTGTTGTGTTCATCTACCATTTGTCACAATTAACATAATGCCTGTGTCAGTATTTATTTAAGCTCTCCTTTGTGATACTAACCTAGTCCTCTTTGTTTTTCTGAAGAAGACAGTGTGGTACAGTAAAAAGAGCATGGGACCTGGGTTCAAATCCTGTCTGATTTTGGGTGAGTCACAACCCCTCTATACTTTGATTTCTTTATCTAGAAAACAAAGGAGATGGCTGCTAAGGTTCGTTCCAGCTGGGCATCTACGACCCTTTCGGGGCAAGCTTCCACTGTGAATAGCTCCCAATCTTTGCAGTGTTTTCCATATGGAGAATGACTGAATCTGAGCGATGAATAGTAATGGCATTACTGTGGTAAAATACACACACACACACACACACACACACACACACAAACTATGGGTTTCCTAAGTGCACTGTTACAGGGAATTACTTAGCTCTATGAAGGTTTTTGCACTGCTTTACAAAAGAAGCTAATTACATAAATTTGAACAAGAGAAGGAGAGAAGGGAAAGTGGTAACATCACTTACATGTAAGTTGTGTAACTTTTTTTTAAATTTATATCTTCTGCCTTAATACTTGTTCATTTTTCCTAGTTATCAGAGACATAATGGCTCCCTCCTCTCCCTCCCTGATACCTAACAAGGTGAATAAAGGCTTTTTAGAGTCTCCCCAATAATTCAATAAGATTGGTACCGGTAATTCCAGGAGGGGAAGTACATCTTTGCACTGATTGAAATTCAGTTCAAATAAAACTACATACATTAAAGAAAAAAAAGTGTACAAATCAAAGTTTTTGAGTTAGATTTAATTATAACTTTTTAGGACTACATCTATTAGTCAAAAGTGAAGCACACCTACATTAAAGTTAGTTTTATTTACTGATCACACAAGAAATGGAAGGAAGGAGGTGACCAGAAGCTTGTGCAGGAATTCATCTTGTTATTCTAAACAATCAATAGGCTTGGGTTAATTCATATGTCAGTAATGTAGAGCTTGGCATAGGGTTCTGGACATGGCAGGTGCTCAGTAAACATTGGATGAGATGATGATGATGATGATGATGATGATGGTGATGATGATGATGGTGATGATAACTTATTGACTAAAGAAGTTTGAGTATGACCTTCTTAATTTTGATTTCATAAATGCAAGTAGACAAATACATTTTATATAGCTTCTACCAAGAACCATCCCCTATCACACCCACACCTTGACCTACTTAACCATCTGTGCCTACTGATATTCTAACCACCCTATAAAGTACAGTTCAAATACTGTTTTCTCTGAACTCTTAACAAGGAAATGATTTCTCCCTCTTCTTACTTCACAGACTTGGTACTTCTTTTATGAATTTATATTTTTCTAATTTGTATTATATGTTCCCATATATGAATCTGTCATAGTACCACTGCGGGGGGAGGGAGAGAGGATGAGGTAGAGGGGGGAGGAAGAAGAAGAGTCTGAGGAGGAGAGGGAGAGAAAGATGAAGGCAGGCAGAGAGGGAAGGAGGGAGAACAATGAAAGATATTTTAAAATATTACTTTTAAAATATACTTTTATTAATGCCAAGAAATTCTACTCTCTGGGACTCATAGGAAAAAAGCTGGCAAAAATCAAGTTTCATTTGTTAGAGTGAAGACTCAAAATGCCCAAGAACAAGAACATAAAGAAGATACAAAGCCCAGACCTTTCCTAGGGCACACAAACATTTAGTCCCAACTCAGATAATAAGGAATTTAAAAATCAAGATATTTTCCAAAAATATTTCATGAAGTGTTTACCAAATAAATCAACAAAAAAGATTATATGGATCTTTATCTCAAGCGAAAAGAAAGTTCTTTTTCACAACTTCCAGGCAATTAATTTTTAAAAATTTAACTCCTTGCTTACCTAGTGTTCGATAGCTTTAAAAAATCAAAAGACCCTTGTTTTACTAGCAATGAGGACATCATTATTGTCACTGATCATAAAATATTATGATGTTTTACAAAAGTCTAATCATATTCCAGTTGAGATACACTAAAACGTAAGCATATATTTCATAATTTTTTTTAAATCATGACTGCTGTCTACAACATCCCTAACAAAATGACTAGCCAATCTCATTATAAATCAATAATAGCTCATCTCCACAATTCAAGTCAACAAACTGTATTAAGTGCTTACTAAATATGAGGTATAGATACTTCTTATATCTGTCCCCTTCTCTTCACTGTGACTATGTAGTCACTGCCCTAGCTCTGGCCCTCACCATCTGTCACCTGGACTGTTGCCACAACCTCCTAATTGATCTCCTGGCCTCAAGTCCTTCACTTCTCCAAAACAGTCTTTGTACAGCTGCCAAATTGATTTTCCTGATCTGAACATATTACCTTACTTAATAAATTCCATTGGCTCCCTATTACCTCCAGAATCAAATATAACTCTTCCGTTTAGCATTTAAAGTCCTGGCCCCAAACTACAGTACCTTTTCAGCCATATTGAACATAGCACCTCTCCACACACACTGTGATCCAGACAAACTGGACTTCTTTCTGCTCCCCATACTGCAACTTGTAACAGTGTTTCTGTTGTCTTCCATGACTAGAATACACTATATCTTCTTTTCTAGCTCTCAAAATTCTTAGTCACCCTTAAGGCTTTTACCTCAAGTGTCTTTCCTGATCACCTCCTTGGTGACCACCTCCTTGGTAATCACCACCCAGCTATGGGGGTCTTCCCCAAAAAATCACATAGTATCTCTTTGGTCTATACCTCGCTATGTATATTCCGGTTCCCCTGGCTTGACTTTGAGGACAGGTACTTCTTTTGCCTTTATTTTTTTGAATCCCCAGAACTTAGCATAGTGACTGATACAAAGAAGGATCGTAATATGCTGATACATTGATTGTGTTATAACGTTCATAAAATACAACAATACTGTGAGTTAAGTATTACAAGTATCATATTGTCCATCTTATAGATGGGGGGAGAAAAGAGAATTAATGAGTTTAAATCATACAACTAGTAAGTGTCAGAGATTAGATTCAAACCCAGGGTTTTTTTGATCACAAGTCTAGCATTCTTTTCTCTATACTATATTTCTTTAAACCAGCAGTGTCAAATTCAAATAGAAATAGGGGCCATTCATCTGTATCTAAAGATCCCTGTGGGTTACATACTGATTTAGTTTTGAATTATTATATTGTTTATGGGTTTTTTGTATTTTTACTTATTTTATTAAATATTTCAAAATTATATTGATTATATCTGATTTGGGCCACACTTAGAGGTGTTGTGGGCAACATTTGGCCAACAGGTCATTTGCCATGATTGTTTTAAACAATTCCAATGATAGGAAGCTCAGGGAGCCACTAATATTTGGGACAGCTTAACATTTTCTTCCTTATTTTGAGCTGAAATCTGTTTTCCTGTAGCTTCCACCTATTTCCTGTATATTCCACCTTTAGGGCCAAAAATAAATTGAATGCCTTTCCACATGAAAAGCTTTCAAATATTTGAAGATTGTTATACTGCTTATTTCACATTTTTTTTGTCTAAATATCCCTGATTCTTCCAAACAATCCTTAAATCATATAGTTAGGTAGTCATATTATTCTGCCAACCACTATCTTCTAGAAATGTTTCAAGCTTGTCCATTCTAAAATGTGGATCCCAAAACAGGACAGGATACCCAGCTTGAGTCTGTATACCACTATCACTACAAAATATGCCTGTATTATTGCATTCTAGGATTGCATGAGCTCTTTGATTTTCCTTCATCAAAATTCCACATAATACTGAGTTTCTTGTCTGCTTAGAACCAAAATTATACATGAATTGCTTTCTAGACATACCCTACCCATCACACTCAATACTATACTTGTACAGGTGATTATTTGAACCTAGCTATAGGCCTCCATTTATCCCTATTAAGCTTATCTTGTGAGCTTCACTTTACTGCATTTCTGAATCTTGGTTCTATTAAGCAATGAATTCTTTTTCTTTTCCAGTCTTGTACCATCTACAAATTTGGTGAGCATGCCTTCTACGTCTTTCTTCATCTAAGTCATTGAAAATGATAATAGCATTACATTAAATTATACAACTGGTAGATATTTAACACATATCTATATTGCATTTTAAAAGCAGTTTTCAATATACATGCACATGTATTTGTGTGTATGTATATTGAAATTTTTTATCAGACCTGTAATTTCACTGGTATAAGATAGTACCCATAAGGAAACTCCCTCTGCCAATGTCAACAAACAACTGTGCTGCATCTTATGGAGAGTTGTGTGGGGAAACTGAGAAGTCAAGTGACTTGCCCAGGACCACATAGTATGTGGCAGAGGGAGGATTTGAATCCAGATCATCCTGACTCTGCTTTTGCACTTCTGTATGTGTAGAAGTTATCTATACATAGAATAAAAGTTACAAAAACAACTTTTCTAGTACTATAGTACAAAACAATGGTTGCAACAGATCAGAGTCTTAAAATTCATTCAAAAGCTTGTGTGGCTTTATTTTAATATTTCAAGAACTGTGATTAAGGGGGTCTTAATAAAGGAAGATAAAACTACTTACAGCCAACCATCATCATGGCCACTGAAAACATCTTCTCCACGTCGGTGGTTGGAGCTATGTTTCCAAATCCTATCGTGGTAAGGCTTGTCATGGTAAAGTAGAGCGAGGATACATACAGTGAGTCTTTGCTGGGTCCTCCTTCCCATGCCCCTGTACTGGTATTGTACTGATAAGGCGTTCCAATACTCATGGCCAATTGATAAAGCCAGCTATCATTTTGGATGCGATTTGTAACTTCATCAATGACTTCATAATCCCCAATGCTGTACCAAATGCAGGCTAGCCAGTGAGCGACTAGTCCAAACACACATACCAACAGTACCAATACAGCAGCACCGTATTCCAGATAATGGTCCAACTTCCTAGCAACCCGGCCCAGGCGTAAAAGACGTACCACTTTTAAAGAACTGAAGAGGCTGCTGATCCCCTGAAAAGAAAGAAATGATAGAATGACTTCTAAAAATCTGGTGAAAATGTGCATGATGCATTGACTCACCTTGAATGTCAAGATCCATTTATACTATGATAACAGACACATAAAATGTGCCTATAACTTGCCATGAAGTAAAGAACCTGAAAAATAAAGGAAGTATTCTAAAATAGGGATTTTTTTTTAAAAAACAAATTAGTGTTTTGTGCATTAGTAAGCACAGCAGACGTTTGTTAGCAAAGGAAAAATAAGATTCTTTTCAAAAAAGCAAAGAGTTTCAATAGGTCAGCAGATCTTGTCTTAATTTTGATTCTGACTTCAGGCTGCCTGGTGATACAGTATATAGAGTACAGGACTTGGAGGTAGATAGTTATTGTTCAGTCATTCAGTCATATCCAACTCTGGATTTTCTTGGCAAAGATACTGGAGTAGTTTGCCATTTCTTTCTTCAATGTGTCCTATTTAATGGATGAGAAACTGAAGTAAATAGGGGTTAAGTGACTTGCCCAGGGTCACACAGCTAATAAATGTCTGAGGCTGGATTTGAACTCAGATCATTGTGACACTAGGTGCTCTATCCTCTGTACCACCTAGCCACCCCTTGGAGTCAGATAACCTGAATTCAACTCAAATCCTGCTTCAGATACTTACTGGATGTGTGACTCCAGGCAAGTCACATAATCTCTCTCAGATTCTATTTCTTCATCTGTAATATAAGAATAATAATAGCACTTACCTCACTGGCTAAATGGGGACTCGGATGAGTTAACATGTATAAATTATTTTGCAAACCTTAAAGTATTATATAAATCCTAATTTTAATTTTTATTATTACTATTATTACTATTGTTGCTATTATTATTATCTCCCACTTCCTGGCACTGAGGCCTAAATAAATGAAAAATTTAATAGACCAAAAGAAAGGCAATTAGAATAATCTCTAGGAAGAGTGTGGAACTCATCAGTGTGGAAATCCACACACTTTTTTTCTATTTCCTATGAAGCTTGTCCTCTACATTGCCTATTTTCATTATCTTATATTGTGCCAAGGGAGAACAATAGCATTGCTGGAAAGGCAAACACAATAATGTTTGCCCCAGGGAATCTATTTTTGGCCTGTTTTACTTAATGAGTTAATGTCATTGACTTAAGTAAAATATAAGTCAAATTTTTACTTAAGTAAAAATGACAATGTCAATGACTTAAATAAAGTCATAGATGGCAAATTTGCAGATAATACAAAACTGGGAGGGATGGGTGTGCCAGGATCCAAAAGGACTACAAGAGAAAGGTTAGAATAATGATATACAACTAATAAAATGAAATTTTATAAGGATAAATGTCTTAAGTTGAACTGAAATTTGCAACACCGTAAAAGCAAAAAAGTGGAGATATATCTAGACAGCAGGGTTTCTTGTTTGTTTTTTAATTTTGTTTTTGTAGTTCTGTAAAAGATCCATTGGTTTTAGTGCAACACAAACCCAATAGAAGTCAGCAATCTGGTATGGCACCCAAGCATTTATCTGTCTTGGGCTGCATTAAGGGAGGCACAGTGTCCCAAGCTAAGGAGGTAATAACTTCTTTGTGACCTTCCCCAGCCAGCCCAGATATGGAGAACTGTATTCAGTTCTGGGCACTAAATTTTAGGCAGGTCTTTGATAAGCTAGAGAGCACACAGAAGAGAGCAACTAGTACAGTAAAGGACTAAAGATCCTGCCACATGGAAGTCAGTTGAAAGAAACAAGGATGATTAGCAGCCTGGAAAAAAGAAAACATGGGAGGAGGGGGGCAGGGAGAGAGGCAAGAACCCGATATCCAAGTATTAATACTGAAATCACATATTTGAAGGGCTGTCACATGGAAGAGGAATTGGACTTCTTCCATTTGTTTTATATGTGGAACAATACCACAAAAATCAAAAAGTTCAGATTAAGCCTTGATGTTAAGAAATATTTCCTGACAATTATAGCCAACCAAATGGGGACTTAAGTTGCTTCAGGAAGGAATGGGTTTCCCTAGATTGGAAATTTTCAAGCAAAAGTCTTAATACTAGTGTTGAATATATGGTAAAAAGGGATTCTTATTCAATTATGGGTAGCACCATGTGGCCTTCCCAATGTGATTTTGTGTGATTATGTAACTGACAAGAAGTAGCTATATTGGAAAAAGGGATATGGCTGAGGTGAATATCACACCCTGCACCAAACATCACTCTTAACCCTACTGTCTCCTACCACAGCTAAAATGCTACCAGCCCCTAAACTTGGATAGCTAGAAGAAAAATAATAACAGTAATTAAAAATAGCTAGCATTTCTAAGAGCTTTAAGGTTTGCTAAGTGTTTTGCAAATATTATTTCATCTTATCCTTTGTACAACCTTAGGAAGCAGATGCAATTTTATTCTCATTTTATGCATGAGGGAACTGAGGCAGACAGAGGTTAACTTGCCCAGAAGCATGCAGCTAGAAAAAGTCTGAGGCTGTTTTTGAACTTGAGTCTAACACCAGGTCCAGTGCTCAATCCACTTAAGTCACCTAGCTAAAAAAAAGCTAGGATTTACTTAAAACCTATTCAATCTTATCTAAAGCAGGAAACCAATCCAAAAAAATTCCTATTTTGTCTATTCAATTAACAGGCAGAAGAATGAATGCCTTTATTAAGATGTAAGATCTTCGAGGATATGTTTTCATTTTTGCATCCCTAGCAGCTAGCATAATACTCTGTACATAGTAGTGACATGTATTAAATGTGTATTAAATTGTGTATTAAAACATATATTAAATTGAACTGAATTGACTAAGAAGCACAATCCTATTAAAAGTATAATGAAGACTCACTTAAATCTAAAAATTGCTAAATAATTTAGCTGATGTTGAGATGAGTGGCTCAGTATCACTAAATTTGTTTAAATTTGTCCTCATTACTAATTTAGTCTTCCCACAGCTATAAGCCATAAGAACAAAGGATAACTTTCCATTAATATTACATAATCCATCATTTAATTTATTCTCATTAAATTAAAAAGAAAATGTATAACAGAAAATGTCTATAAAAAACAAATAGACTAATGGCAAATTTGCTAGTGTAGCACAGTCTCTGGACTCACTCTCATAACTCCTACTGGAACTGGTGGGCTAGATCTGAGGTGGGGGGAGAGGGGACTTCTATTTCTCACTCTAAGGGTTCAAAGGGTAACCCTGAGGGACCTTGGGTTGGTGTTCTGGTACTTTTGCTGACTAATTCCACCATCTTGCTTTCCATTAACTATCAGTTTAAATTAATTAACCAGTTAGAGTTCAGTAGCTTTGAGTTAGAGGCATTTACTCAATAAATATTATAAGAACAAAAATATTCCTCTAAAGTGTGGAATATACTTTCCAATGAGAACACACAGACTCCTGATGAAAGTGGGCTCAAGCTTAGAGAGTTCACATGACACAAGAGTACCCTCACAGTTCCTGATTATTCGGAGTCATTTTGTCCCTTGATGGAGTCCTCATGAAGTTCTCTATAGGTATAGCTTTCTGATGGATTCATTCACAGTGTTGAAAATGCCTTTCTTCAGAGTGTTTATTTTAAACTTAATTCCACCAACCACTGCTGTGGCATTTGATAAAGTGCCAGGCTTAGGAAAACCTGAACTTGAATCTTTCCTCAAACATTTACTAGCCATATAGACTATTTGCAAGTCAATAAACCTCTCTCAGCCTTCAGTTTCCTTGTTTGTAAAATTAATCACAAAGAACACATGAAGAAAGACTATCTGCATCCAGAGAAAGAACTGATAAATAGAAGTATGTACAGAATGATATGTGTGTGTACACACACACACACACACACACATTTGTGTTTAATGATAGCCATTTCTAGGGCAGGAGGAGGGAAGAAAAAAGGGAAAAAAAGAAATTTACAAGATAACTTTATTAAATATTTAAAAGGAATAGTAAGCTGTACATAATAGATATGCAATTTCATGTGCAATCATCTTTTTATATGTTGTGGAAATACTTGTTTTATTTCATAAATTAAAATAAGAAGTCCAAACCTTCTGATCTTCTGTTTGTCTATTTTTCCAGCCCTAACATCTCTGCTGACCTCTAGACTTGCATCTTCAATTGCCTAGTGGACATCTCAAACTGGATATCCCATAGATAACTTACACATCTAAAACTGAACTCATTATCTTTTCTCCCAAATTGTCCCTTCTTCCTAACTTCCCTGTTATTATTGAGGGTACTACCATTCCCCTAGTTACCCAGGATTACAACCTAGGTGTCATCCTCAAGTCCTTACGCTCTCTCACCCCTCAGTTGCCAAGTCTTACTGTAACATGCCTCTTACGTCCCTTTTCTCTTTTTCTGACACTGCTACTGCCATGGTGCACTCCCTCATTGGACTCTTGTGTCACCTGTGGGTGCTCTTGGCCTCCCTGCCTCAAGTCTCTCCCCATTCCAATGCAGCTCAACTGTCAAAGTGATCTTCCTAAAAGCACGACCCCATCCTCCCATTCAATCAACCTCAGTGGCTGACCTTCATCTCCAGAATCAAACATAAACTCGCTTGGCTTTTAAAGCCCTTCATAATCTTGCTGCTTCCTACCTTTCCAATCTTCTTACCCTTTTCTCTTTCACATGTTCTATGATTTAGTGACACTGGCCTCCTCTGCAATTTTCTTCCTCCTTTTCTATATCCATCGGCTTTCCTGGCTTCCTTCAAATTTCAGCTAAAATTCCATCTTCTGCAAGAAGTTTTTTCCCAGTCTTCTTTAATCTCGGTGCCTTCCCTCTGAGATTATCTACAACATACCCTGTACACAGGATGTTTGTACCCAAAGGTCTTAGTGCAATATTAAACTATTAAAGCTTAAAGGTATTAAAGCATAAAACTGCACTAAGATCTTTGGGACACCCTAAATATCTTGTTTGTACATAGTTGACATGTTGTCCTCCCCCATTAGACTATGAGCTCCTTGATAGCAGGGAGTACTTTTTTTTGGT